CATCAATTTTGTGATTATCTTGAATTTAAACCAATGAAGTTCTTATTTTGGTTTATTTTGATTTCCTATTTTGGGGGATGTTTAATCGTGGTGCAGTTAGGGTTAGGTTTTTGATGCAGTTAGTATATTATTTATATATAGATATCAAGAATAGAACTTATGCAAATGTAGATCAATATGTAAATGCACCGCGCTTTAAACGACCCCCTATTTTGGAAAGTGCACTCCGGTTGTACTCTGATCTAAAAAAGGAAATAAACATGAAACTGGGCCGAATTATTCTGGCTATGGGCCGAATTTATTATTTTTTTTTATAATGCTGGTAATGACATGATTTTGTCACATTCAAATGATCATCATATACATCAAATCCGCCCATATGATTAGTTCAAAAAGTTTTATGATAAATGTAAATTTAGGTATTTACTCAAATAATCTTTTTACGTACAACATATCCGTAACACTTGTTGATCTATATAATCATTCATCCGATACCGGTGAACATAAATACTTAAAACAACTATAACAACTATACCTATACTAAAGAAAATAGTAACAAAAATAATTACACCAATATTCAATCCACTGCTCGGACCATTACTCGGACCATTACTCGATCCACTGCTCGGACCATTACTCGATTCACTACTCGTAACATTACTTGGTATGCTACATATTGATTTACCAGGCGTAAAAGTAGTTACCCATACTTTGCAAGGCATATCTAATAAATAAATGCGGGAGTTAATCTCTGTTGGCGGCGTTGCACTATTAGTTATATTTCCTATTATTTTTATTATTTTTAAGAAAAGTAAATATTAATAATTTATAAAAATAAATTATAATAACAACAATAATATATAATTACCAAAAGCAACAATCATATAGTTCTGATATAAATTGACAGTATGAACTGCTAATGAAGGTGGGCTATCTCCGGTAGTAATTAATTTTGAATATTCGTAAGGTTCAGTCGTAATATTTAGTGACACGAAAACTGGTGTGGCAGTAGTTAGATTATAATTATAATCTAAAAAAAAAATTTATTACAATTACTATAATTAAATTTATATTTACACAATAGAGTCTTAAAAAATATATATTCAAAATTTCTTACTCGAATTTCCGCCTATTATAATAATTTCATTATTGTCCGAAGTCAAAGTTGCGGTATGTGCTAATCGAGGTTGAATAGAAAAGTTTCCATTTTTTACTACTGCAATCTGAAATA